ACTGTAGGTGTCATTCTTTCTGACTGTAGGTGTCATTCTATCTGACTGCAGGTGTCATTCTATCTGACTGCAGGTGTCATTCTATCTGACTGCAGGTGTCATTCTATCTGACTGCAGGTGTCATTCTATCTGGCTGCAGGTGTCATTCTATCTGGCTGCAGGTGTCATTCTATCTGGCTGCAGGTGTCATTCTATCTGACTGCAGGTGTCATTCTATCTGACTGCAGGTGTCATTCTATCTGACTGCAGGTGTCATTCTTTCTGACTGCAGGTGTCATTCTTTCTGACTGCAGGTGTCATTTTATCTGGCTACAGGTGTCATTCTATCTGGCTGCAGGTGTCATTCTATCTGACTGCAGGTGTCATTCTTTCTGACAGCAGGTGTCATTCTATCTGACTGCAGGTGTCATTCTTTCTGACTGCAGGTGCCATTCTATCTGACTGTAGGTGTCATTCTATCTCGCTGCAGGTGTCATTCTATCTGGCTGCAGGTGTCATTTTATCTGGCCGCAGGTGTCATTCCATGTGACTGCAGGTGTCATTCTATCTCGCTGCAGGTGTCATTCTATCTCGCTGCAGGTGTCATTCTGTCCGGCTGCAAGTGTCATTCTATCTAGCTTATATTTGTCAGCTGTTGAAATTCTATATGGCTTCTACAGCTTTTTCAGGAACAGCAACCGCATTGCAGTCAAGACAGTTCACACTTTTATGTTAAAGGTGTCACCATTGTGGCACCAAGTAAAATTTGCTTTGTCTAAGGTAACTAAGGTATGTTTAATTGTAAAAGCCATTAATTTCAAAACTGTCAGTTTTGATGCTTGTGTGCCAGTTTATATTGTATGTAATCCTTTTCCAGCAAAGTCATTTTTAAGTACACATCGATGTTTACTTTTTTTTGTGTATTCTTATCAGACTTTATCTCAGTCAAGGTTGCAATGCTGATGCTGAAAGATCTGTAGTTAACTGCAATGTCATTCTTTTAGGCTACAGAGACAAAGTATGTTCTCATCTTCTGTTTGCACTCTAGTCATTTTTACCTGTGGTCCTTTTTCTCCTGGCTTTCCTGGTTCTCCATTAGCACCTGTTAAACCCCTAGGACCTGGCTCTCCCTATAAAAAAATAACATCCAGTAAAATGACTGTGGCCAGCGAGGAGCATATGTTTAAAATAGTTTTTGTGCAATTCTAATGAGCAGATACAGTTCAGTATCATACTCTTTTAAAAGTTAAATCACTTACCGAGGGTCCCATTAGTCCTTCCAGACCTGGTCTGCCTGGGATTCCAGTCTTGCCTGGTGTCCCCTGAATAAAAAAAAAATCAAACATGTTGTTTAAACACATTATAACGAAACCGAACCTTTTATAAATTTGAAATATTTTAGCAACCATATTATTAGATGTGTATTTTATTTACCGGCAGTCCCATTGGCCCAGTGTCTCCTCGTTCTCCCTTCGGTCCCTGAAACAAACATAGATTAAACCATTAACCCTATAAACACCCAAGTCTGTTCTGCTAAATTGTTGGCAAAATAATTTCTTTGTTTAAGGTAGTTCATGCTGAATTCAAATTGTGAAACCCTGAGCATGTTACTGTACATGTATGTAATGCATAACGTGAAAGAACATAAAATAACAACTATTGTTGCATTGGAAACTAACTAAAATAAATCTTAATTTTTTGAATGTTTCAGAAATTTTAAAACTCAAATTAATTTTTCATCCAATGTCACCAAGCAAAGTTTTGGGATATCAAGAAATAATTTGACCATAAAAACCAGAGCAAAAATGATAAACATTTCATTCTTAAAAAATTAGCAGGTTACCCCACTCATTTTTTTTATTTCTGTTTACCTGACAGCATAAAATATAATCTTTAATTTGGTTCAACTCAAATGATAGACACAATACCAATGAGTCACCAGAGATGACTTGAATGTCACAATGTGTGGCATAGTAGCTGAGATGTTACCATGGGAACACAATGACCACATCATTATCAGTGGTAGTAATTTACATGTCACTGTTGGTAGCAGAATGACTCGCATGTCACCACAATTGTATAGTGGATCAGACATTATGTATATCGTACAATGACTGAGACGTAAAAGTAGGAGTAATGTTCAGTGAATGAGATGTCATCATGGGTCAGGTCCATAGGTAGCAGAATGACTCAGATATCACATTGAGTGATATAGTAATACATGTTACAAGAAACTGGAAAGAATTTTAAATACCATTTCGCCAAATCCATCGTTGCCCGTATCTCCTTTTGGTCCAGCAGGTCCTGGTGGTCCCTGGAGGTATAATATACATATATTATTGTTATAAACATTATAGTATCAGGAATTGTATGTTAACTTAAACTTGATAAGAGAGGCAACTTTATTAGTCTGTGTAACTTATAAAATCAAAACTCACATGTATTTCAGGATATAATCTCAGGATATAATACGTTCAGAAAGTTCCAAATATGACATATTAGAATGTTAATGACCAAAACCAACTATGATGTTAAAATGATTCTCACTTTGTACAACTGGTCCTTTAAAATCTTAATTAAAATAACACTAATGTAAATGACTGAAAGACTGATTTTATAGTTTAAGCACTGTGCCAATAATCCAAAATCTACGAGGTATAAAAAGCGAAATATACTCAAAACCTTCATAATGGCAGCCATTGATACAATGGTCAGAATAAGTACATAATTTATCTGTTGGAATTATGATTATGAATCATATATTGCTTAAAAAGGATGATAACTGGTGGCCATTTTGAATTTCAAAATGGCCGCCTTTATAATTATGAGAAAAAAATGGCAACAAGTGAAATTGATTTAAATGTATCAAAATTAATGTTTACTGAAATTTTCTAAGATTACACGCAACAATACATATGGGGTTCACAATCTAACAGACTATAGAAACCATGTGCCAAATCCAATTTTAAAGATGCTACATAACATGATACTTACCATTGGTCCTGGTGGTCCTCGAGGGCCTGGTATCTGGAAAATCAAAAACAAGGAATGTAACATTAGCACAGAGAACAGTGAAATGTAATATTAGCAGGTAACAGTGAAATGTAACATTAGCACAGAAAACAAAGAAATGTAACATTAGCAGGAAACAGTGAAATGTAACATTAGCAGGTAACAGTGACATGTAATATTAGCAGGTAACAGTGAAATGTAATATTAGCAGGTAACAGTGAAATGTAACATTACCAGGTAACAGTGAAATGTAACATTACCAGGTAACAGTGAAATGTAATATTAGCAGGTAACAGTGAAATGTAACATTAGCACAGAAGACAATGAAATGTAACATTAGCACAGAAAACAGTGAAATGTAACATTAGCACAGAAAACAATGATATGTAACATTAGCAGGTAACAGTGAAATGTAATATTACCAGGTAGCAGTGAAATGTAATATTAGCACAGAAGACAATGAAATGTAA